TCTCGTAAGATATATATATGTATATACGCGTTCGACCTGTCGCATCGGAGAATGTATACCAGTATGCACACGATCCCTTAATTAAATTGGCTTAAGTTACGCACTCGAAAAGGGAGCATTTGGGGGCCAGGGGCGAACTACTCGGTGACGTCAAATCAGAGTTCTCAATTCACAAACCTACTCGCATTAATCGCACCCAACTGTGTCGAGGTAATTGGAATGGGAATCGGATTGAATCGATCACGCGTCGCGATTCGTTTGCAGGGAATCGCAATTCAAAACAGAAAATTCAAAACATTCGGTGGGCTAAAGGGTTCACAGACCACGTCGCATTTCTAATCGATCGTTTGATATTCAAATCCGAACCTTGCAGACATTTTTCAAACCAAATTCCAGCCATTTGAAACTATTATGATTTTTGTGATCACATATTTAAATTTGAAGTCCACTTATGCGTGAACTCATGCTGGGCATCGTTATATTTTGAACAATTCTGGAATATATATATATACAATATATATATATATATATACAATATATCAACGAACTGAAGGTTATAGTTAACATTTTAATCGCAGTTATTATGCCTTATTGTGAATTGTTGCTCCCTCCTTTATATTCATGATATTTAAACTTTAATCCGAAATTAGGTTTCCGCTTTACACCGATTTCGTGCAGTGATCGTTGTAAGCTTCTATCTGAGGATGATCGTATCTCCTGGGGGGCTTATCGACCCATTGACGTCAGGGCCCGGCACACGCCCCCCAAAACGAAGAACTGGCTCTGTGGCTTCTATAGGATCTATTAGTTATCAGTTAGCACCTCACCTGCTCCTCCGTGTGCCACTCCCTCGTACGATCACAAGATACACATTTCCGGGGCTTTTGCTGTCACTGGAGTTTGCGCACCCGTCGTTCCGCCCGCCGACGAATGAGATACACTATATAGATACAGATACGGGAGCAGATACAGGAGCACATGATCGCGATCGGTTCGGTCGGGTTGATGAATGCGGTTTTATCGCCACAGAGATAATACTACCCATCCCCTAACTAATCATTCACGGGCAACACAACAGTGATAAGGCACTTAGTCATCCGATTTGATTACGGATCCGCAAGTCATCATCGGATATGAATACGGATGTCAAACGGTGGTAATTGGTCAGGCGATTAACTGATTTATTTGCATTCGCCTGCGCATTGCGTATTTATTCTGACATTTATTTGGCTCTTATTTATTTTAGTCATTTGAATGCGTCCAATTTGGATATTCTTAATGCGATTATTTGCTCTTGTTAAGTGGAAGCGGGTGGTCCAATAATTCTGAGAAATGGTTATAATGTATGCTTGCTGTTTAGCAAAAAAAAAATATTATAGTTTTTCGCTGTTATATAACGCATTTCAGCAAGCAAATATTATATATGAATGAATTGCGACCTTACTTTGATTTATCATTAACTTTAGATCTTAGAAAACTATACAGGGTACTTTAGAAATTAATCGTAAAAAGTAGAAGCCACCTTTTTATCGAAATTTGTGTGATCGCCCGCCAAGAAAGATCATTGATCTGATGGAAAATCCGATTATATTTTCGTACCTCCACAATAGTGGCTCCATTTTGCCCATCATATTATATGTCTGTGGAGCGACAAAGACATCGCCGTACATCTATTGCCGTATTTATGGTATCCAAAAAAGCGTGGGCGATGGCAAGTGATTTATTTGCTTACGCGAGCTTTCTTTATTTTCTTGTCCGCATCGGCGAACACATTTTTTAACGCTCAAGGTCCCAGGCCCCTTCAGAATTTTCACTGCCGATCTTTGGCATTCAAAAATAGCGCCAGTACCAGTACCAGCGAAATGAAATGAAGAGTTGCGATTGGGGAAAAACAAACACACCGAATTTCTGCTGTTTACCAGCCGCAGCGACTATCTCTTTAATTGATTTCGTCTTCTTTCTTTTTGCTAACGCATACCCCCACGAAAATATTGCTTACGCTTTTTCAAGGTTGCGGTCGCTGCCACAGAGATAAAAAAATTAAAAAAAAAAAAAAAACGAAAGCGCACATTATAGGAATTGTAGATAAGGAAAAGGCAGCAAAGCCATAACGCTTTACGATCCTTTTAACGATCGCGCTTAATGGCTTAACTCGTGGGTAAGTCGCGTGCTGAAGAGACAAGCCCCCATTTTATTGAAGCCCCGAAAAAAGGAGTATTATGCATTCGATTCATAACGCTGAATGGTGTTTATTGGCGAGTCAGCGGCACGTGTGGCTCTCCAAGTGGAAAACCATAAGGGAACCAGAACTATATACGTATGAATATATGTAAATGTGTATGGGTTTTATGCTCAACTATTCGATTCTGTTCGTATGTGTATCTTTTTAGAATGCTTTTACTTCTTGCCGGCTTTTGTTGCCGCCATGCGAATCTTTTAGGGTATTTTAAACGAATATGTGGTATTACACCTGAAAAAATATATTAAATACTATAGCATAGCTTAAAACAATCGTACATCGACTAAAGAGCAGCCAAAAAACAGCATCTTTCAGATCTTCGTCAACTTTTTGTATACTTTTCAAATAAACTAATGAATACATAAGGAATATAATATATACAAGTACCGGAAATGCAACAGATCGTGCATTTCCGTTTTTCCACGCAAGTAGGCTACACTTTTGTGCAAAGCCCCACCAGATGCCCTCTACTTTCGCTGAGTACCAACTAGTTGATCATTACATTTCCCGACTCTCTCGCCATACAAATTTATGCTAAAGAGTTACACACACAGAGAGTAGCAATTTACTTGCGCGTGGCTGCCCGGCACTCGAAAGATACATATAAAAAAAATGTGTAAGAAACCGAACCGACAGAACCGAAAAACCTGACACCATGCTAAATGTGCCTAGTTGGCAGAGTCAGTCGATGAGTCCGGCAATCCGTCAGATCGCCAGACACTTGTGTCCAATATAAGTGCCATACGAACATAGATATCGAAATACCACCAACGCGATCTCCAGGGGCGAGTGTATGTGTTGTGGGTTGTGGCACCTGTTCACCAGTTGCGCAAATTATACATATACATACAGATATATACAGATATACATAGATTGACGCTCTTTGCCCGAGGCGACTCTTTGGCGCTTTTACATAAACTTTTCGCGCGTGTGCTGCTCTGAACGTGGCGCTCATTTTATTTGTTGCTTATATAACTAGCTTGCAGAATGGCCCTACACGGCAAGAATTGGAACTGTGAGATGGATGATACACATACTTGCAAAGTAAATGCGAAAATGAATGAATAAAACAACGCTGCATGCTGAGGAATGACTTTAACATATTGGTACTCAAAGAACCAGATATACATATTTTATAAATTAAGCTCCACTATTTCTCTCTCTGTACGTAGGTTCTGACTCTGTATATTCTTATTTTTATCATTACTGTGAGACAATAAGTGGACGAGCCCTGGAAATCGACCAATCCGCGAGCTCTGAGCAATGGGACTATCGCAAGCGATTATGCATGACAGATGACGCAGTGCGTCAGGAGATATGATCCAAGAATACTGAGAACTTTAAAAGCCGTCTGGCTTTTAAAATATAGTCGATCCAATTTGATCGGGATCATCATTTTATGCTTCAACGTCGCCGTTTTGATTCCCATGGCTTTACACATTACATATACGCACCGCAAACGTTTGTAAGATTGCAAAAATGTATATGATTTTATTATAGTTTAAATAAATTAACAAATGGAAATAAATATTTCATTCTCTAAGCTTATTTTCTGTTTTAAAAAATAAATACAAATGCATTTGTTGTTCAGACATCCACTGGCAAACTCTCATTATAAAGTCAAACCGAAAATTCCAAACGGTATCAATTCTGCTTTTTTTCGCCAAGCGGACTCAAACAAACAAGATTTGGCTGCTAGGTAGCGTGAGGAAATCGAGAATTAGAAACTGGTTCGAAAAAATGCCAACTGGTCTTGATTGCCACATCGCAAGACCCGGCAGAAATACGTAAGTATATGCAAGCAACAAATAAGCTAAATCCAAATACATTTTAAGCGACATACATTGAAATCGATGTGAGACGAAGACAAGAAATCCTGAATTTATTTTACTTTTTTCCCCCAAAAGGAACTCAATTCCGTTGCCATCCACATAGCATTGAATCGTATTTCTCATTCGCTTAGTTCCATTTTTTTGGCAACTTTCATTATCAATGTCAGGCACGATTCTAATTAAACGCTCTTGAAATAAAAAGAGAAGTCCACTAGATAAGGCTTGTCAGCTGCTCATTTCATTAATGGACATGAGGAGGAATCAAAATGAACTCTCTACGCACTCCAGATCATGGGAGTGGAAGACTAGATGACGTGTTGCCAAAATATTTTTCATGAATTGTATGATAAGAGTCTTTTAGATGTGGTTGCCTCAAATCAAATCACCACACTTAATTAATACATTTTTGTATTTTATTTTATAAATGTATTTTTTTTTTGCAGTGTAATTTCCTCAACACATCGCTAATTAATTTCAGTTAGAATCTTTGAAAGTCAAATCAGCAAAATTGGCAATTCGTGGGTTCAGTTATAGAACAGAAACCCTCACATGTCAATCTATATTTATAGCTCTGAACTTTCTAATGATGCGTACATAGGCTTCTTATCACTGATATGGTTATTTGTCCTATGAATTATTTAAGGAACGCTACCAAGCAGAGCTTATCAGGTGGAAACAACGAAGAAGGTGGGCTTGACATCGGCTCTAATCTCAACGCATCACATCGCATCGCATGTTTGGTAGCGCGACTGTTGCTAGAGGGAAAATCTTATCACCTTACCCAAACTGGACGTGCGTCATCGGCACGGGCTTCCTTTCCTCAGTTCCATCTCCGCGTTTAGTTAGTCCTCTTGTGGCTAAGCCTCTCAACCAGTTGCCAGCGATCCAAATTCCAGCTGAATGCCGACAAGTGCTGACAAACTGATTGGTAATGTACAATAATTCACAGTTTGTTAGTATCTGTACATGGGCTCGTCTGTATTTACAAGGTTTGCAATTTGGTAATAAATAGTTACAAGGAATTAAGGAGGACCAGAGGCTAGCGCAGGGTTAGGGAATCTTCTTTAGATGCGAATGCGACTGTTTGTGCTTGACTTTTGAGGTCAGCACATCGTAGCCCAGGCTGATGATATTGTCGTAGAAGATGCGATAATGGGTGGGGATCCAGTAGAAGTTGACGAACTGCGCCACCGGCCACACAGTCCATTCGGCGGCGTACAGCTTCCAGGCCTTCTCCTTGATCTCCTCCCACACTTCGTTCTTGGTCTTCCGCTCCAGCAGGCCCAGAGTGACGAAAAAAGCACTGATGTAGATAGGCGAGCAGATCAGCTGGTCGAGCACGATCTTCTTTGCCACCACGCGCATACTGCGTCCAGGCATTCGTTTGTCCAGCATCTTGTACCAATAATGACAGATCACGCCCACTGTCACACCACTGATGGCCATGTGGGCAGTGCGCGTGGACTCGAAGCGCTCGATTTCGCCGCAATAGATTTCCAGGTGCTGTTCGAGGATGTCACCCACACAGCTCAGGGTCAGCGAGATGCCCACGTTGGTGAAGAGCAGGAAGCGGCTACTGAATGCACTCGCATGCCATTCCCGCAGCTTCTGAAGCGCTCCAACGCCAATGGTGCTGGTGGTTGTGGTGCTGCCCCCACCGGACGCTGCTCCTCCAGCTCCTCCAGTCGCGCCGCTATTCCGTGGCCAACTCATTCGCAGGCTGCGCTGGCCGCGAATGGTTCTGGACAGGATCAGGCCACGGGCCGGGCAGCAACGCAAGGATTGCATGCTGTCCGGCTCTGATTTCTCAATCTTAGAGGACGGTTGTGTTGTGTTCGGTTCGCTGGCCGGTTATGCGATATTTACATGCCCACCACCTTTGGGCTGGCCATTATGTTAGCGGTGTCCAAAAAAAAGGATGTTCTTTCAGGGTTCTGGAGTGAGTTTAGAAAATTATACACATTGTTTTTCGAATTTTTGTTTCTTGATTTGACTTTTGAAAGGCAATCCGGACACACGCAACAGCAACAACAACAACTATCACGTGTAGGGAACAGCTGCTACGACGAGTCGTAACTTAGAGAAGTTATCGATAGTTGAACAATTGTAGCCAATTGACTTAAAAATTATTTAGGTGTTAAGCCATTCATTTATACTGTTTTTCCTGGACGAGGCACACAAGAGATCGAAAAAACTGATACTTATAAAAAAAAATGTATTTTAACAACGGACTTTATAAGAGACCAATAGTCCTTGTTTGTCTGTAAAAAAAAAAAAATTATATATAATATGAACAATAAAACAAAATACAAAAGAACTAAAAACGTAGTACAAACGTAGTATTGAATAAATTCAAATATTTTGTAATAACTTATTTGCCATCCCTAAATCCACTTGCTTTCGATAGCTTTGCATCGATATCGCAGAATGCAGCGACAACCCTAGAAAGCATTCCACAGTGTTTTGTTGTTTTTTTTGTGCAAGCGTCGCATTAACCGTGTTCTATATCCAAATCGGGCATATATATATATATATACATATATCAACCATATCGGATTACAAGTGCCACGGAGCTCAAGTACAATTCCCTGCGGACACCTGACGAGGATTCCCCCAGTGGAGTCATCTCCAAACAGCTGAGTAAGGTACTGCGTTGTGGTTGTTATTCCTGCGTTTCGCAATTGGAGCCCAAAACAAAAGCGCATCGCAGATATAGATAAGGAGTATTACAAGGCCAGGAGTAATCGACACTACCCGTATTATTACCCGCATTTTATAGGAACAAAGGAAGAGCACAACAAACAGACGCATACACATAAGTACTGGGGAGAGCGAGTGAGACGGGGTGAGACTAGAAGAGCGAGAGAGGTAGAGGGAGCACAATGGGACGCATTTTCTTGGAACATCTTGGGGGTCTAAAACTCTTCAATTGCGCCCAATGCCACACGAACCTGACCAACCGTAGTCAACTGATCAGTACCCGATTCACGGGCGCAACAGGTGAGTCCTCCAAGTGCTCCTTCCACTGTGATTATGCAATACTAATCCGATCGAATCCCCACAGGACGCGCCTATCTCTTTAAGCGTGTGGTCAACCTGACCTTCAGCAACATCCAAGAACGGGTCATGCTCACGGGACGCCACATGGTGCGCGACGTCATGTGCAAGAACTGTGGCGCCAAACTAGGCTGGATGTACGAGTTTGCCACCGAGGAATCACAAAAGTGGGTAAAGCAGATAGGCAGCTTGTCCCTATATTTTCTGCGATGCGCAAGTAGTTACTAACTTCGCTTGGAAGGAATATCCATATAAGGAAGGAATATCTATATTGAAGGATTTGGGGTACAGGTATCACCGTTAGATGTTGGATTAGTTCTTCAAGTTCATATTCCCTAGTTTTCCTAACTAGGAAAACTAGCAAACTACTCGTATGGTATTCAGAATCTTTAACAGATTGCACAGGGCATTAGTTTAAAGATATAAATTCTAAGGGTTAAAGCTTAAGCTTAGTATTTTATAGAATAGAAACATCTTACCAATGCTCCAATCTATCTCTTAGGTACAAGGAAGGTCGCGTTATCCTGGAGTACGCCTTGATCACAGAGGCAGAGGGTTTTCCTTCGGAAGCCGCCACCACGAGTCATTGAGCCGATTGAGTAACCAGCCGGAAAACGAGAACCACGCATTGGCGAACCTTGTGTAGCCCTAAGTATTGAGTAGAAGGCCACAGGCGATGGCTTCTATGCATTAGACCTAGTTTAGAGATCGCCGTAGTCAGCTCCGGTGTTCGGGATACCGAAGTATCGGTTGCACATCCGCCACGGAGCACCTACGTCTACGGCACTGTCTTAACGTGACTTAAACGTAGTTGTAGGCACATCTAGCACGTAAGCAGCTGCGGCGCCCAATTCTACCATTAAAATGTCATGAGGCTGAAGTGCTAAAACAAAAAAGGTCCTGTTACTCAATTGGAACTAATTCAGAACTGATGATCCACACTTGTCTTTTTCAAACAAGATCTCTAGACCGTAATCAATCAGCAATAAAGTACCACAATAATCGAATAGAAGATAATATTTAGTCGGGATTCCGTCAACGCGTTTCTTTACTTAGCTATTTTGACAAATGCAGGAAAATGCATCATCTCAGTTGTCTAAACTAGTTAAGATTGTTTGTAACAGCTATAACACCTAATGTTTGCCAGTCTTTTGAGCCATGGCCAGGGCGTTCTCGTTGGCAATGACTTGGAACTCCTGGAAGCGCTGCGATACGCGCTGGTTCATCTTCAGATACTTTTCCATGCAGTTCATCGAGCACTTCTCCTGCAGAACGGATGGGCATTTTGAAATAGATGATCTGCACATTGAGCTAATGGGCACTCACCTCGGAATCCTTCACATCCCGCGATGTAAAGTCGCGTATGCAATCCGTGAAGCAAATCTCGGACAGTTTGTTGTAGGACATCAGGAAGTCGGAAAACTGAAAGGTAGAACCACACATTTGAAATGAAAACCACATTGCATCACTTGGTGCCGCAGGTTTTTGGTGGGGATGGTCTCTCCATGCCCACTTTGCTCACCGTCTTCATTTGATCCTTATCCAGCTGATCCAGGGATATGCTTTCCGGTGCCTTAGCCATCTTGTGCTACGATATTTTATTTAAAATTCTCAAAACGAAAAGGGGCCAATAATAATAATGTGCCTATATAATAGGGACAGCTGGTAGCGCAGTGTTGCCAGATTTTGAAACGGCTTTCCATGTTCTAGATTTATCGATAACTTATTTTCAAATATATATTGGTGAATAATAATATCAATACATGAAAATCAATTTTTAATTTTAACATTAGTTATATAAAATTAAGAAGCTTTAGCAGTAAATAAAATATAAGTGTATTCCAAAATTAATAATACTTCAACTAAATACACCAACTTTAATGTTTTAAAACATTAAATATAATAAAATGAATTTTATGAGACCGATATTCCTATCTAATATCGACTACCAAAAATAAAATATATATCACTTTCAGTGTAGGGTAATCAATTACTTAACAAGAATTTTATATTGTATTTGAAATATTTTTTATGAATAAATATTTTAAAATAAATATTATAACATTTCAAACACTTGTATGAATAACATTTGCCTTGTTATTTGTTCAAGAGGGATGCCAGTGTGATCTTGCAAGTAATCACACTTAAGAACACATACACTATACTCACTGCTCGACCGGTAAGAGAGATTACTTGAAATATTTTGTGACTCTAAATTAGAAGACATGCCTTACAGTCTTCACTATATATTGTTGGGAATTACAGGGCTACAAGAAAATATGTTTCCTAAACAAATATTAAAAGCGGCATAACTATGTGTTCCGACAGTAAGTTAAACATTCTTGAGGCTTTAATTAAGACAATTTTTACTTCTTTGTGCAAGTAACACATACATATATATACATACATACATACATACATACATACATACATACATACATACATACATACATACATACATACATACATACATACATACATACATACATACATACATACATACATACATACATACATACATACATACATACATACATACATACATACATACATACATACATACATACATACTAAAATACATACATACATACATACATACATACATACATACATACATACATACATACATACATACATACATACATACATACATACATACATACATACATACATACATACATACATACATGCATACGTATATACATACATGCATACATACATGCATGCATACATACATACCTACATACATACACTGGAACACACACCACACATACACTACACTCACTGCTCGAAACTAGAAGATATGCCTTACAGTCCTCACCAGAACCAGTTGGGAATTATAGGGCTACAAGAAAATATGTTGCCCAAACAAATATTAAAAGCGGCAATAATTGTGTGTTCCAACAGTAAGTTAAACATTCTTCAGGCTTTATTTAAGACAATTTTTACTACTCACTTTAAAGACCTCACTATTTCACTCACTAATCTCAAAATGTTTGCTTCTTTAGGCAATTTGACAAAGTGAGTTCGATATTCTACGATTACACACAATATCGATAGCATTTTCCTTAAAAAAATGTGGAATTAAACCAATTAAATTTGAAAAATTCTAACAATGCCTAAAAAGGACAGATTTCTGGGGCTGTTTGACATTTATTCGGGATGACGCAGATCTTCCGGACAGATCTGTCCGGAAAAGGGCTAATTTGGCATCACTTCTGTTGAATGGTACTGCTCACCCACGTACTTTTCAACACTACACGGAACGCCATCTTTTTTTCCTCGCAAACATTTTTTTCTTCTCCTGCTTTGTGGGTGTGTTCTTTGGAATAACACGGAAAAATCGCTCAGAATACCATCAAAACAAAGAGAAAATTCTAACTTGAGCAAGCCCAGTGGTAAACCGAATACCACTAATCAGTTACAGAGCCCGAGAAGCAGCAGCTTCACCCACATACATATTCATACATAATGCCACGCTACCGCGAATGGGATTTGGCCTGCAAAGTTTACGTGGGCAATCTAGGATCCTCGGCCTCCAAATACGAGATCGAGAACGCCTTCAGCAAATACGGACCCTTGCGCAACGTCTGGGTGGCCCGCAATCCGCCCGGTTTCGCCTTCGTCGAGTTCGAGGATCGTCGCGACGCTGAGGATGCGACCCGTGGCCTAGACGGCACCCGCTGCTGTGGCACCCGCATCCGTGTGGAGATGTCTTCGGGCCGATCACGGGAGGGTCGTGGCGGTGGCGGAGGAGGCGGCGGCGGTGGAGGAGGCGGTTCCGGCGGCGGGGGCCGCGGTGGTGGCAGTGGTGCCCGTGCTGGAGGCGGTGGAAGGGCTGGCGATGGCGGCGGTCGCTATAGGTGAGTACAGCACAAAAGCATTACATTCAGCATCCCCAGAATAACCCAAACAACCAAAGCACCCAATTACCACTACCCTTCTCTCGATTATGAAATCATAATTTTTGCCATTATGTGCAAAAAAGTATGCAAAAATATATATATAAACATATGTATATATTTATATAGCGTGTGTGTTTGTGTGTATGTATGCATGTGAAAAATCGATTCGCGTATACATACAAAAGCGGTGCCAGCCAAAATACACACAGTCACACATTCGGTTGGGACACCACTGTAAGCCATACATAAACACACACAGTGGCGTCCGTAAAGAGAACAGTCCTATCGCGTGCACACAGTGGCGTCCGTGGCCAACAGTCCTGGTGGCTTTTGCAATTTTAATCGATTGTTTTTAGCTCGTTTTTTTATGGGAATCTAGTTTTAGTACCACATTTCATTGCTCATTATATGCACCCCGAGGTCCATAGTTTAAAGTTCAAAGAGTATAGCTTTAACTAGAGAAAACGTTTTGTTTGTTGTTTTTAGTAAAATTACAAAATACAAGAAAAATGAAAAGAAAATACAAGAAAACTTAGTAAAAACAAAGTAAATCGAACGCTTGGAGCCAATTTTAATGTGGTCTCACAATCATTTTGCAGGATAAAGTCTTCTTCTTCTACTACAACAAGCACAACAAGAACTACTACAACAACAACATCAATAATAATAATAATAATTAAAAGAACAACAAAGAAAAAAGAAAAAACAACAACAGCTACTACTACTAGAACTTCTACTACTCCTCTTCCTTCAACAACAACAACCAAAAGAACAACAACAACAGCTACTACAAGAACAACTAGTACAACAGCAGATCCTGCTCCTCCTATTACACACATTTCACCAACAACAACAACAACAGCCACCACACCACCACCATGCAATAACAATTTGTTGTGCGGCCCCTGCCAGAAATTCAACAAATTCGATATATTCCGCTGACCACAAAACCAATAACCACAACCAAACCGAACGACCGCAACACTACACCCCCTCCACCACCTCTTCAGCTCGACCCTGGCCAAGAAAAAACTGAAAAAATGAATCATCAGCAACGATCCGGCTCCGCAGCTTCAAGAATAATGCACCCAAAACCAGACCGAACCACTCACAGTCACCTAACTATACATTCCACTATGGGGCACACGACTAACTAATTAGAACTATAGAAAATATCAATCTATGCCCATTTCAAAAAGGATTTAGCTGTTAAAAGTTGGTCTTTTTTCTTTGTGCAATTAGCGAATATTGTGTTGGAATAAAAATAGGATTTAGCAAACTAAGATGATCGTTTGCCCCAGAGTGCATTCCACATTTCCACATCATTTATAGTCTGTTAGTTGGCAACATCTTCAGGCTATACAACAGACACTCACGAACACACTTACACAAACTGCCATTAACCACACTAATCACCAAGAACCAGAGCGAATCGGTCGTCGGCGGCAACAGAGCAACTTCATCAAGAATCCAACTCCAAAATGTATCTATTGCATATTTATATATATACACACTCACCAGTCCAGCAACGCTTCAAAAAGTCAACTTCCTACGTCTCCAAGTTGTGCGGTTGTCTTCAGCCTGCTCCTACGTCCCCAACAAACCACCCACCACCTCATCATCCGTCATCTTTAGCGCAGCTACAGCATCAGCAACAAGCTACAGCTACAAAGACCAACTGCAACAACAGCTTCTACTTCTACTACTACTACTACTACTACAACAACATCTGGCAGCCAGTCAGCAAAAAGATCTCTAGGCTGAAAAGCCTTCTGTAGATCTTTTGTTGATTCCACCACTCAGTAGTTGCACCTTTCCCTTGCAATCAAACCAGATTGAGGCTGCTTCACGCTAATTCCTTCAATCGCAGCAAGTATGAAACCTTTGGCCGCCACCAACAACACTGTCCCTCGAACCGAAACGAAAACATAACGCCTCCAACAAAATCCGTTTGTTATAATTGTAATTATGGTTTTTGATAATGTTTTTTTTATCTTTTGTTCTTGTATCCTAACATCTACTGAGATAATGTTGTTCGCGCTAACTGTCTGCTCTCTGTGTATATATATTGTGTAAATGTGTTTATGCATTGATCCGATCAGCTCGAACTCACAGTCAGACAGTTCACCAACCAAACGACCCCACCACCAATCGACCAAGCACCAGCAGCATCAGCAGGGCAAGGCAGGGCAGGGTCTTCTTCAAGCTCGCATCTCCACAGCGCGGATGGTAGGAGCAGCACCGCCACCACCACCAAACCACAACCACCACCTGATCCTCTCTTGCTGCTAACTGATGCTCCCCTACCAACTGCTTCTTCATACGACCTACGTTCTTCGGCTGCTGCAACAGAATAGAATGATTCACCAATATATCCACCAACAACACACACCAAAAAAAAAAAAAAAAACACAACACAGCCACCCTAGTCACAGTCAATCAGCCCAGAATCAGCTCAGTATCGTATCAACAACAACAGCCCAAATTACAACAGTTCAACAAGAACCTACTACTACTACTACTACTCCTACTATTACTACTACTACAATTCAACAACAACAACTCCAACAGTCTTCTCAGTCTGCTCTGCTCATCAACCAACTAAGCAACCTACCAACAAACCAATCAGCCAACCAATCCAACCAACCACCACCAATTACTTTATGTAAATGTCACACCAACGCTTTCGTTAATGGGGCCAAAAAGAATATATATATACATATATATATCAGCTATATCTCCACCACCTTCAAGCACCTTCAGCCACCAAAAAAAAAAAAAAGAAATGAAAAAAAAAATACTGCCAGCTCTCAGCTCCGCTCAGCCCAAATTAAAGCTCCAATATCAGCTCTCCGATCCGTATCCGATCCACCAGATATGTCAGCCCACGTTGTGTGTTGTTTGATCGAGACCACTCTATCAACTTTACGTATCTTAAGGAATTGTTATCTTACTACACGCCTAGTTAAGTTACTCATTGGTGCAAAATCTATTTAATTTGTATTTTCTCTCTCTCTCTTTCTTTCTTTCTCACCTCTCTCTTTCTGTATCCTGTCTGTGTGTCGTGCCCAATATGTTTTCCCCAACGCCACCCATTTCATTGCAGATCCCGCTCACCCCGCCGCTCGAGGACACGCAGCCGCAGCTTTTCGCGGGATCGTCGCAGTCGCTCCGACTCCAGAGATCGTCATTAGAGGAGAAAAGTGGGAAGCAGCCCCGGCCCGGACTACACAACACACACATATACACACATATATATATATATATACATATATCTATATATATTATTATATATATACATATATATATATACATAAACATATATATATATAGAGATATATATTACAGCTACAGAGTTGGGGCCAAAAAGTATCTGTTTTGCCCCACGAAAAAAAGCTCCACAGATTCCTTAAGTTTGACTCAAAAATTCGTCCCATATATCCCCTCCCATGCAAAAAAAAACTTCAAAAAAGACCACCACACAACCCAGCCATCTCCGATCTGAATGGATCGCAAGTATAACCACAGTGCAACTACGGTACACATTGGTTTTTAGGCCTTAAGACTTTGGTAGATTTTAATTCAGAAAGTAAAAATGAAGAACATGTAATGCAGCCACCAGCAACTACAACACACAAAGAGTGAGGCATCCGATGAACGGATGTCAAAGGTAAATGCTATTCTACGTCCGCGAACCCGCATTATTTATCCATTTGTTTTTCTCCGAATCTGTCGCAACACAAAATATGAATTGAGAAAAATGAAAGGTACGGAGGCGTAAGAAGTTATATGATTGATTGGCGGAAAGTGCAAGTAGTTAAGTCGTGAAATGAGAATCAATAAATTGAACATAATTTAAAACTGAAATATACACCATGGTCTTGTTAATTGGGATTGGATTGCGTTGGACTAACAGCTTTTAGTGCAAGAAATTTGTAAGGATCCTCATTTCCCAAAACTGAAAACATCGCAGAGCTTGTTTAACAATATTTATTTATTTTCAAAGTTTTTTTTTCTTCGCTATAACAATTAGTAATGACTTGAACGCACACACATCGAATGTTTTCGTGATCGATTCGGGATAAACACATGCAGGGCTATATATATTTATTATATATATATGTGGATAAATATGCACAATGCAAATTACTTTTACTTTAATTACAATATCAGAATTTTCAATTTTGCTCCGACCAAAAGAAGGTAAACTACTTCTGGTTCTAACATAAATTATTGTCAAATCTTCGCCAGGAGTATTCCATTCAATAAGTGGGTTAATTGCTAACTGGAAACGTGATCGTAGTGATAAAACCTGCGCGGGATGGGTTTACAAATCATAGGGATTTAAAAATGTTTTTTATATATTTTATATATAAAGAAGAGCATAGAAGCATTCAGCTATGACACATTAACAAAGAGGGAAAAAAAAAACAATTAAGGTAATTTAGATTTTAATCCTAAGCCGGAGGATCGACAATTAACACAGGGATCGAGGACGGGGGAGTGGGCAGCAAATCTACTTGTACTTCTTCATGAACTCGGTGTGGAAAACGCGGAATTTCTCCATCATCAGCTTCAGTTTGTCCGTTTGCGGAAGGATCGTGCTGCGGAAGTGCCAGGTGCCGGGCTTCTGACCAAATCCACTGCCAGGAACAATGCAAATGCCTGTGAAAAAAACCCGGAGATAAACCATTAAATGAAAATCGAGCGAACGAGGCCAGCAATCAAAACTCACCGCTCGTCTCGAGCAGCTCAAATGCGTAGAAGACATCGGGGGCCATGCCCTTGGCCTTGGCGGCCGCGATCGCCTTGGGCGGGATCTCGATCTGGGGGAAGACGTACATGGCGCCCTGCACGGGATTCACCTTGTAGCCCTCGAAGCTGTTCAGTGCCTTGTGGACGAGCTCGGCCCGTTCCTTCAGAGCGGCCAGGATGCCATCGCGCTCCTTCTTGTACAGATCGTAGGAGGGCTCTCCGGGCTGCGGTGGGTTGACCAGGGCACTCACGGCCACCTGGCCAGCGGTGGTGCTGCAGAGCGCCGCCGTTATCGACTTGGTCAGCATGGCCTTGACCTTGGGATCGAAATTGAGGACCTCCATGTAGCCGCCGCGAATGCCGCACTCGCCCAGATAGCCCTTCGAGGTGGACAGGAAACTGACCATTTCGAGGCTGCGATAGGGTTCGCCCATTTCGTAGGCCACCTTCTTGAACGACCAGAACTTGGAGTCCTTGTCGTAGACATTGTCCTGGTACACCTCATCGGCCAGAACCAGCACCTTGTTATCGTGAGCGAACTTGATGATCTCCTCGATGTTCTCGCGGGTCAGCACCTGTCCGGTGGGATTGCCCGGATTGATCACGACCAGGGCACGCGGATTGCAGACCTTCTTGGCCTCGTCGTAGGACCGTTGCAGCTCCTTTCTGCCAAGGCTCCAGCCGGTCTCCTCCTCCAGGTAGTAGTCCACCTTGGTCATGCCGTATTCGGATATGGTGGCCGAGTACAGTGGGTACTGCGGAATGGGCACCATGACACCTGGTGGCTTGCATCCCACCTCGGAACTGAAAAAGAGACGAGCGGGTTAGGCATTGATGTTCATGGGTCAATTGCAAATCGAGCTTTAAGTAGATTTACACTTGCTTAGGAAACACGCAGTAGTATTTCATAAACAAAGGGTTTTGATAATACTCCTGAGCAATAAACGCCTAAAATTATTTATCTATCATGCTGCTATGGAAGTTATCAACCCAAGAATGGGCCAATTTGGGCCATATCTCTCGCAAATCTCTGGATTTAACTGATAACTCTCGAAAGAAGCGCCATATCATGAGCAATAAAGATGTTTGGCCTGAACGTACTTGATCATGGAGAGAATGCTCTTGATGCCGGGAGAGGCGCCGGCGGTGAGGTAGATGTTCTGCCAATCGGAGGCGATGCCGCCATCCCTCTTCTCGATGTACTGGGCCACCTGGCGACGAACCACCTCCAGACCGGCGGAGTCGGTGTACGAGCCCACCGACTGACCCTGGCAGCCATCCAAAATGGCACAGGCGCGCTTCTTAACGTCCTCGGGATACTCGGGCGAGTCCAGCAGTCGTGTCTCGAAGGTCAGCGCCATCAGCTAGTAAGTAAGTAATAAATTTAATCAAATCATATCATAATTTAAGGGGCCAAACTCACCTGACGCAGGAAGGTCAAGGGCTGCTGACCCATCGCATGGCAATCTCCGATGTTGGCTCGAATCACCTGGTCGAATGGCTTCTGGACACCCTGCAATCAAATTCAATCGGAACGGAATGGTAAATTAGCCATTTGAAATTACTCATTGTTTGTTCGGTGGCCAAATGAAATCACCCAGGCTGGCGGATCAAATGGACATTTAATATGTGGCTTTCGCCATGCAAATTACCCTCAAGTGGTTTCCAAAGTGAATTAGCCCAGCCCCACAATTGACCGCCTGGTACGGAGTAATCGATTATATTTCAAATTCAATTCAATCAAATATTTATCAGTAACGAGCCATTGTTGGTTTCAGCAAATAGTATGCTCTTTCAAATAGAACTGCTCTTTCAGAAACAACTATTAAATGAGTAACATTATAGTCACTTAAGGATTTAAACTTGTTAACATCAATATAATGTATTTCACAAAGGCATACTCTGTGGATAGAAAAATAGATATTTTGGGTCTTCCTAGTGCATCTAGTACACTTTGGAGTATCGCCATTAGTTACTAACCCAATTTAACATTCTACCCCAATTTAAGTCATTCAACCCCATGGGCAACCAGTTGATACAAAGGGACAGTGGAAACTGTCATCAGGGCAACACACAATTTGCAGGGCACATGCAAGTTGCACTCGTTCATTGAAGACCCCATCGTCGTCTCGGGTTCCATTCAACCACGCTCAAATGGCCAATTTACCACATAATGTCACGGAGGTTGGAGGAGCTGGGATGATATGATATTGTGTGTTTTTCAGAGGCGAAACAATGCAAATTGCGGCATGTAAGTGAGCTGACGTCACTTGGCAGTCGATGTGTTTGCCTGACAATGTAATAAAGGGAGAATTAAGGAATTCACAGTCCAACACGCAGGCAAATTCATCCAGTGTTCGAGTTTGGATACTATAATCGGCAAGTTCTCACCGTGCGAACGTGTTCGCAGAGTCCATCGCGCCACCTTATCGAATTCAGTTAATTATTCCTTTTTTTAATTTCGAAAATTACTGATAAAAGTGTTGCCGAGCCGAGGCAAATGGGTTGTGTTTGTGTTTCGTGTGGAAATATCTATAGAAACGGGGCCTATCGCATCGCAAGCTAAAGAGCTAACAGTGGAGTTGGAAAACAATGTCAACGAAGGTTTAAATATATAAAAACCGCAGAGCTAAAGAATCAATTTACAGCCGCTTAAAACGCAATTAGATATTGCTAGCTAGTTATCAGCATCATTTCGATATGGCTACTAATTAACTGACCAGCGCTGTTCACACCTAAAGAATTGCTTCTGATTCTCCCGTTTATATATTCTTAATATTCGCATACCCTTTCATCATTTCGCACTTGAAATCGCTGTAAACAAACATTTGGTGCCAAGTGGCAATATAATTGATAACTATATACTCGTGCAGGTAGTCGTATAATCATATAGGCCCTGTATAAAAGGCGTTGGCAACCCAGACTTTATCGCTAATACGAACCGAAAGAATAATAATATGCTAGCGAATGTTAATGTCAAAAGGAAGTCAAAATAAACAGAGGCAAATGGGTATGATTAGGAATTGGGAATGATTAGGACTTGGGTAAGTAATTAATGATATTTTCCGATCAAATTCTTAGCCATGTTAATACTATATCAACTGAAACATTTATCGTGGTGAACAGCATGAAGTGCAATACATTCCAGTGATAAGAATGCCTGCTGCTGACAGATGATGAGTTCCTTTTGGAGTATTGCCAAATCCGTATGGTGAGTCTGTGCGCAAGTGGAGGAATTTGATAAAACGCAGAATGAGCAGCACATCAGATTCAGTCGTGCGGATAAGGAAATCAATCGCAGCGGGAAAACTGGGGGGAAATCAACTGGCTGGCTGTCAGCGGCAATAAAAGGCGCACACAGAATGTGAAAAGTCAGCGGGGACCACAATGGATTTAACTATATATATATTCTCACATATTGTATACATCGTATACTATACGTTACGGGTCAAAAAAGTTCGAAGAGAATTTCGCAAAGCAAGTGAAAAGGCAGGGAAAGTGTGTACAGCATATTTTCCCACAGCTCATGCGCATGTCCCGTCTTTGTTATGATTTTTCACTTTCCCAGTGATAAGAAAAGGTCCACGGAATCAGAATCATCCCACGCCCGTCCCACAAATTCCGCACTTATGTAAGCCAAGTTGAAGGTCGTTCAGTGAACCCGATTCGCGTCCGTCGCTCTCCATCTACTTTAATTAATCCAAGACCAAGATGGTCCAAGAAATACAATTTAGAATAATTACAAACATTAAATGGCAATTAAGACCATAACTCGTCATGGAAAACGGTGGAGAAACACGGTTTTTAAGTCGTGAAAACCGGGTAAATGGCATTTGGCGAACTCCCCAGGGAGAAATCATGCACACTCCAACCAGCCGAGCAGTACTTAAATTAATTAGTTTATTGACTTGTTTGCTCTGCCCCAAAAAGTGTAATATCCCTCAACTCAAAGTTCACCTATAAAGAATTATATTCCGTTTCAGATAAGTCTCGATATTTTTATAGCGCTCTGATTACAATTCCTGCTCTTATCTGAACTTTGGGATTACTTCTGATAGCTTTATCGTTCCCTAAATTCTTGGGCAGAGCTCTATTTCAAACTACTCAAAAATTGTTGTTGTGTAATAAAAACAAACAATTGTTTTGCTCAACTTTGTATTCTTTGGCAAACATTTTGCGCTCAAAAATTAAATAAAACATATGGCATTTTACTTTGCACTCTGTTTTCGTAAGCTCTTTATGTTTGTGAATCAACAAATATCTTTGTGAACCGGTTTCTTTTTATTGACAAGCATATTGTCTTTGCAAAAATGTATTTTTCAAAACAAAACATTAGCGCACAAAACGTGCGAATCAACAAAAGGCTAAATTTGCATGATTTTAAGTATAAAGTGTGGCAAAACTTTATACAGTATATATATTTTTTTGGCAAAACTTTATACAGTATACTTATATATATTGCAAAACTAATTTGAATATTGGGGTAATACAGTAACTTAAACTGGTACTCTCCTATTTTTACCAACTTAACGACTTTAATTTGTGGGCGTATTTTTCAACAGGTGTCCTTAAAAAAGGGTGGTTTTGATTATCAGCCGAAGGTAAATGATTTACAGCTGCGTTCCCGCCCAATCAAGCGTGAATGAAAAAATAAAAGGGCGGCAAAGCGGCAAAAAACAAACACAGAGGCAGCTCACACTTGATACATATATACTTATATACATACATATATATACGTACATGTGCCTGTACGTAAAAGCTTATGTATATACGTACATATATGTACATAAAGATATAGCGTGCTTAGACATTAAAATGCGGGCTCTGAATTGCCATAAAATTGGTGAATCGAAGGGGGGCGCAAAACGCTGGTTAATGGCGTCGCATTTGGCGCTCTGTTCGCCATTGCTTGTGGATCAATTTCCCCTGTTGTATTAACATTAACACTCACCTTTTCCAGTTCCTTTTCGATTTCCCCGGCACGAATCACCAGAGGACCGCGAACCGCATATTCCATGGCAATAAAGTTGGGATTTATGTTTTCCAGTGTGAGCGCTTTCGACGACGACGGCATTTTGTGGCTGGTTGAAAAGGAACTGAGAAAAAAAAAAAGGCGGGTATTCACTTAGCAATCAGCATTCACTTTGTGTTGTATATTAATATTAACGTTTCGATGTGTTTTAGTATATCTTTATCATTCAGCGAACGAAACTAACCGGCGGACGTCTAACGGTTGAATGAAATCGCCGCTTGATTCGTGGCGCTTCGACGTCGCTGCCGCCAGCGCCGTCGACGTTGCTGTTGATTTCGCCGCACGTCGGTTGGCATTGTTGCTGTTGTGCAGGAACGATTTCCAGCGGCGAATAACGTATTGTTGCTGCTGGCGCTGATGCTGCTGCAACGCGGCAGAAACTGTGGCAGCAGCAGGCTTAATTAGCATTCGACTCATTATTTCTGCAACGAAAAGGGAGCCAGTTAATAATTACTCAACATACAAAAATGCAAGAAAAAAAATTGACACACCGCGCTTAAATGCCAAAAAATTAGCACAAGAACAGCGAGAGGAAGAAGCAGAGAAATTAAGGGTGTGTGCGTGTATAAGAGTCCAGCTCACAATTATAAGAGCGGCAAATTCAAGGGCTCAGCTGTTATCACTGCACCGAAAGAAATGAATTTCGATTTACAGAATCCGAGAAATCATAAAAAATCGATTAATTATATACAATTTTTTTGGAATACCGATATGCAGTAGTTATTAATTCTTCAATTATAGCAATCATTTTATGGGATTGTGAGCCGTACTATTCTAGTATCTAATGACATTTTTTTCCTGTGTACAATTTTGTATCTTATCAAAAGCAAGGCGTGGTATCATTGACAATTTTAGGGCTTATCAATGGCATTGCTAGTGGTTCGATACTTTATTTATTGCTTTTCTGTTTATCAAGAAGTTGAAGAGCGAATATTTACAATCGCTGAAAACATTGCATTTAAAATTGCTGCTGTGTGCATTTAGCCTAGACTCAAACCAAATGCACTCGCCGCAAGGCGCGCACTTTAAAAGTGCAATCAAGCATTTCGTATCTGAGTTTTCGGTTTTCCAAAAACAACAAAGTTTACGATAAATGTATGTATGTGAGCAAAGCTCAAAAATGTATTTTATTTTAAAGGCAACATATATACATATTTTTAAAAGATATATAAACGGTTACCAGCGGTGTGCGTTATCATTGAATAAAATGGGTGCCATAAAGCTTAATCTCAAGAACATATATTGCTTTACCATACAGCCAGCATAAGAAGAAAATTTAATTAAAAATGGAAACACTTAAATTCAACTTGTGTGTGCTATATATTTGACTATATTTCTTATCTTAGTGGCACTTTTTTTAGAGGCAGTTGACGGATTTTCGGACCATTTACTCAGACATTATGTATATGATTTAATAGCTCTATTTCTCCATTAAATCCAGTGGCATGGCATCCATTGGTAGTGGGTACTATCAGTTGGGCGTACTTTTGACTTTGAGCTAAATGAGTGGAGCTTATCAGTGACGTCCTATTCCCAGCTTGCGATTGCCCATCTTTCAATTGAATATATTGTACATATATTATATACATATATATATTTCTGAATTCTGCACTTTGAAACGCCAATTGCGTAATGCAAAAAATTAGAAAACGAACAAAGAATCTTTTAGAATCATGACAATGACCAGAAATCGGCATTACCTCCAATATACTATACTTTTCGCACTTAAATCAGCGTCAATCAGCCGCAGATTGTTTGCTTTCTTTTTAGCGACAGCGAAATTTTAGACATTAAAAATGTACTAAATACAGGTCCCGAAAAATATACAAATGTATGCCTTTTTTATCCGCACATACATATGTATCTTTTGACTATATATGTATATATATATATATTTGTATATTGGTTATTAGAGTCAGACCCAAACTCGTTGGTAATAATTTTTTGGTTTGACTTGGCGATACTTTAAAAACCGGTTTTAATGGGATATATATGTATATATATATGTATATAGATGAAAGTGTATGGAAAGGGGGAGTGTAGTACGAATTTGGAATCTTGCGAGGTGGATAAACATCAGAACAGTGATCTCTGTTTAAATTTGACAAATCGTATTAGTTCTCATATCTAAGGATATACATATATACATATGTATAAAGTCCTGTACGATTTATTAGAATTTGTATAGGATAACCATCTATGCATAGTACGTTTGTATCTTTATCGCAAACGTTTAGAAACATCTGTTCCCAGAAAATAAATTATATTGCTATTGCCTCAAAAATTATTTTATATACATATGGTACATATGTATATAATGGAAAAGTATTCAAATCTATCTGAAAAAAGAAAATTTCAAATGAAACTTTGCAATCTTAAACATTATTTTGGAGACACAACTTTTTAGAGTCAATGTTTATCTGCGATATTTTGTTTGTGATTTGTTTTGACAACAGAACTGCCTTATGCAACGAGCTGTTTAAGAAATCGGAATCAGAATATTATGTGGACTGAGTGCACTTTGCTCCATGGTTAGACCAACCCCACACCCCCCGCTCCCCACGCAATTTCACCCCCTGCATGGAGGATTATCAGACTTATTTGCCCGCATCCCAACTAGATAAGATAGTAGCGATAAGGAATCCAATTAGAACATGCCCATTCAGATTCACCATAATCATAACTTTTGCCAAACGCCAGCAAATTATATTGTAACTCGATTGACACGTAGAAAACGCAACGAAACAAAAAAAAAGAAAAAATGGGTATAGGGGGTGTTTTGATGTGCTAATTGGTTTGCTAAACAGCTGTGAACGCCGCACAAATTGAGCGCAAAAAACCACACGGCACGCAATTCAATTAGGGAAACACGCAAAACGATAAACAAAATCAGGGTACTACTTTGAATTAGATTTTTTTGGGCGCACAAATCACTTTCACTGTCACTTCCTCGCTGCTCCCAATTAGAATTTCTCGGCCACGGTGTTTATATATATTGTACATATATGTATTTATATACGTATGTAGGTAGTTCAAGAGCAAAAAATCGATTTTTCGCTGCACTTTTTAATCGTTTCACCTTGATGGGCGCAAGTGGGCGTGGCGATTATCTAACGGCGTTTGTTGTGATCCCAAAAACTTGCATAAACTTATTAATAAACCGTTCATACGCGATATGTCTGTATATAATATACCTAATAAAAACGTGTGTGCTTGTTGTGTGTTTCTGTGTGTTTGTGTGTGTTTGTCTGTTAGAAGTGTGCGGCGTGCGACTTCCAATCACAATCGTATCAGAAATGCAAAGCTCTTTGGCCGCTAGACGCAATTAGGGAACTGACATAAAACTGAAACCGAACCGAAATGGAAATGAAGTGCTGGCAGTATTTACCGACTAAATGTTTTCTTGTGGGCAAGTCACGATGAAGCGGGCAGCGATTAAGTTTTAAAAATATCACGTCTGCAGCCCTGGCAGCTAAGCTTTCGATAGACGGCGATAGATCGATAGCCCAGCGATTATAACCATACTGAAAAGCTCAAGACATTGAAAAGTAAACATTGTGGTTAAAAAATAGCTCTTTCTAAATCGAAATTAATTGTTACACTCAAATAACTGCGATCATTTGTAACTCACCTCTATTCTTCAACATATTTACTCTTGTTTCGTATTTTACACTTTAAATTTACTTCAACAATTTAGCTGACTTGGTGCGCCTCTTCATATACCAGAGTATTTGATTGTTGTACAGTGTTCCATTGAATTAATTTTTATTTCCGTCCCGACCCGTGTTGTCTATTCTCTCCAATTATAAAGAAACAATGCCACACAGTTTACCCATGGTCTACTTAGGTCATACAAATGTACATCGATTTATAGTATTTTTTAAAATTTCGATACGAAAGACAGGAAATAAACGTAATTCACTGAAGGTTTGTGCGAATATTTGTTCCTCCGTAAGAAACAATGTTTATCAATTGTTAAGAAAGTTTATTTCACTTCTACGAATATTCAATACTTTTTCGCATGTTTTATTTCACTCGAAACTTACTGCTAACCAAAAAAAAGGTTTGTCTAATTCTAGAATTATGTACAGAGTGCATTTGGGAAAACTATGGGTAGTACAACCCAAAAAACCCACGGCTACGTGCTGATGCCCATGATGGATTCAATGGAGAAGCTCAGCTTGGGCTTCTTTCCAGTGGCGGAGGAGGCGGTGACCGCGGGCGTGGTCATCGCTGGATTTGTGGGCGGGATCGTTAGCGGTATCGTCGGCGGCATCGGGTGATAAATGTGCTGCTCCTGGTGAACTGGAGCGCAGGCCGCGGCAACGGTGGCAAAGTACAAAGCGTTCCCGCCCAGCGTCGCCTCCATGACGTGGTTCAGTTCCGGATCGGCGAATGCCCGCCGTTTGCGCATGCGCTCCATCAATGGCGAGCTGAACGTGGGAAATCGCTGTTTGTACTCTGGAAGAAAAGGGACCACGAGAAATGGACAAAATTAGTGAGGGTTACGGGGGCGTTATCACTACAAATTGCCGCGATTCGTTATGAATGGGTATTGTAGATTGAAGCAATTTATTATTGGGTAATCCGAGACACGCGTCGCTTGGCCAGACAACCAGACAACCAGACAGCCTGGCACCGTTTTGTTTCAACTTCGGGATTGTTTCGGGATCTCCACTTATACGGAAACCAGATGGAAAACCCAAAGAAGTCAATTGCTGTTGCCACATTTCGCTCTTTCGCTTGTCGAATAGGTTTTTCCGTTTTGGTCGCGTCTCAGTTTACCGAATGTGACTCCCTCAAGTGATTGGAAAATGTGCGTACACTGCACACACATTTCGAAGCATCCGATTTCAATTGTTTTTCGTCAGTCGTATAATTGCTGTTGTTATTGTTGGGCATCAGTCATTTCCTGTCCACGTCCGCGTCCATGGACAGGGGAAAAGAGATGGGGATACGGGAGACAGGAGACAGAAGACAGAAGACGGGAGACAGAAGACAGGAGAGGATCTCCGATTACGGACGGGCCAGACAGTCTGGCACCGTATGGAAAACTTATCATTTCAGCTGGGCCGTCCACTTCACGACGTCCAGTAATTTCCAAATTGGAAAGTGGCTGTTTGATTTCGGACTTATAGATATATTTTTTGATATGTACAAAAGCAATGCTCGTTGCACGGAATCCTTAGTTAAAGTCTACTAACCTTCCATGGCAGCTGTGATATGGAGCGTAGATTGCTGCAAGCTGCGAAGTCGCTGCTTGTAGATCCTCTTTTGGGCCATCAGAGCCTGTCGGGTGGCGGATGAGGATGAGGTGTTAACGCTAGATGGTGGATGCGGATGCGAATGTGGATGTGGATGTGCCGGCGGGGGCGATGTGGAGGTTAGGGAATCCTCGCCTTCGCTGCTGGAGGTGCTGGCGCTGGCCGCCGGTATGCCCGAAGATTTTGCGGATGATGTGGTGGCCTCCAGGGCCTCCATGGTTTGCTGTCGTCGCAGGGCCACCTGGGCGGCCATAACCCGCTGGCGATCCACGACCAGCTGGCAATTGGGGCAGCAGCACTCGCGCCAACGGCACAGTCGCTTGTGACCTTTGACACAGGAGATGACGCCGTGATTGCGACACCTGGCACACTTCGGCGTCCTCAGGAGACGTCGTTCCCGCTGGCAAATCCTAACACTGGCGTCCTTGCTCATCCTGGCTCGCTGATCGACTAAAAGGATGCGGACCGGGGCGCGAACATTTATGCACTGCCAACCGCAGCTACTTGTCGCCGTCAGACTGTCTGGCAGCGTCAAGTGGTTTCCGTCGTCGTCGTGTCCCAGGGGATCCGACACCCACGAGGTGGGCATCCGAGCATCCGAGTATCCGAGGGATCGGAATCGGGATCGGCATCGGTCCCTTGCCTGCCATTGGCTGCTAATCGCTGGCTCTAAATTTAGAAGATCCAATGGCCGCACAGATGTCTCGCATCAGCAGCCGAAAGATACATTCTGCTACAGGAGGACCTCTTTGTAAGCGATTTCAAATTTTGTTCATATATATGATATATATCGGTTATGGATTATATAAAACATTTGGTTAACCAAATATTTGGGGCACCTGAAAAGATTTGACAAGTAAAAGTAACAAAGAATTGTTTAGGGTTCGCCTTAGGCATGTTTTACTATACCTTTCCAATCCGTACATCTTTGTTTGGACTGCGTATTTCGTCAAAGTGCATATGGATTTCTGGCTGTCTTCCTTTAGTATCTTTATTCGTTTATTTGACTCAATTTTGGTTTACTTGTATAACAATTTGTAGCATTCATTATCTCATATAGCACGTATATATATATATATATATTTCAGTATAAATACAAATTCAACACGAGTTTAGCTTTATCATTTCATTAGCTAATAGTACGTAAAAAAAAGAAAAAAAATTCTCAGCGATTTATATACTAGAAGTTTTTAGGGGAAAGGACTTTCCACTTAATGCCTTTTAAATGCCGTCTTCATATATGTTTGTGTAAATATATATATATAGATGTATATATATATGGTACAGCGCGTTTCACAACTAACATTTTTTAAATTTCGGAACAAATGATGGCCAACAAGGATTGGCGATTGTCAAATAATTTCGAATTCAGCCAGCTTTTAATTAGGATATGTAATCGAACTCACCACTAAAGGTGTCAAATGGGAAATCGCGTTCTTTGAACAGAATAAATACATTCTATCACTCCTATCAATCCTAACAATTGTGAAACGCACTGTCCCTCTGCATATATGTTTTTATGTATATCCATTTAGTAAGTGTGAGTTCAAAACGTTACTGAGTTCTATTAGAGGATTACATTGATTAAAGCTTGAGCTAGAAATGTGCCAGGTTTTCGATTCGATTGGTTGGTCAAAATACAGGTGCGACTAGGAAAGTACTGCCAAGGACTATTCGTGTATTCGAGTGCGTTCTACTATGATCTATTATAAGGTTTTAGCGGACAAACTGTTAATGTTAAATCGGGGCCAACGGCTAACTTTGACTGATATTTGATAATTATAATTACTTGTGATTTACATGGAATCATATGGTAAATGCTTGCAAAGTTATTGTCCTTTACTGTTTAAAAAACGCTCTCTAAATGGAAATCTATATGTGTCCGTATTATCGGCGTGTGTATATATGATTCCCTTAAAAAAGTTTTGATCCTTGAACCAACTAAATCTAATTACAAAACACGCGGCCCTACAAAAATTTGAACGAACACAAATCACAAAAGTACAAACATTACATATACTCGTAGTACAGACATATATCATCAATAATATTATATATATCGCCTATGGATTTAAGCTATCGTAAATACTTTGATTTCCTTCGAAACGACACAGACGCACTCTGAATTCACTTCATTTGCTATTATATCATATCACAATGCTTAAAGGGCTCACCGCTTCTCGATTCTCGATTCTCGAGTTTTAATTTCGATTTCGATTGGGCTGCAAATTCAACAACGATGGATTGCCAAACGACGATCTATCCATAGAGTTCTAATATAACAGGCTCACTGGTCGCTAGGCTAAACCATACAGCTCGCGAAATAATTGTATTTCATTGGCATGTCTTCGATACTACTTCATTCCGATCTCTATCTATCGGTTTCCATTGGGTTAACCCAACGCAAATTGAACTCCAGGAGTGGGGGTTCGGTAAAGTGGGAAATTTGAGATGCCAAGTGGCAGACGATCTTCCAAATGGGAAAATAATATGAGCACTGAAATGTAGCCAAGTAAGATAAACAGGCCCTTTTGGGTCTTACTTCTACAAAACTTCAGTTTCCATAAACAAGACTGGGAATAAATATTATTTGAATGCTTCTTTGGCCAAAAATATAGCAATAATATCTTAGATAGATGATAGTTAAAAATGGATAAAGTGGCATACGCAATTATTTCGCTCGCTGTATGCGACAAATTTCAACAAGTGTGTGACTCTTTTTGATCGATGCTGCATCTGGCAGATACACTCGGTTCATAACAATAGTGCGCTCAAATATGGGTATTTCTGTTACTAGTTAATAGGATCGTATGTCCTTTGGTGCGGGTTTTTAGATTACATGGCTGTATAATACTTCTGGTTGTGTGTTGATAAGCAGTAGAAAAGTAAGAAAGTCTCATGGCTAGAGTGTGGTAAATGCAGTTTTCCACAAGGTTTTCTTCTGGTTTAGGTATATCGCTTCTGCAAAAGGGGTTTCTCCAACTAAGGAGGCGGTGTAGTCAGTGCCAGTGAGGCGGAAAATTTCGCCGTTGATGTGAGCCGCCGTCGCCGCCTGTGATCTCCTCCAGACTTCTAGACGATGCTGTTCCGCTTGGCGGTGGAGCGTTGCAGGGTGTTTTGCATGGCGGCCACCACCGCCTCGGCGCCGCCCGTGAAAATCGGCTGATTGACCGCCCGCCGCAGGACATGCCACATGGCCACCGGTTTCCTAAGCGACGAGAGCATCTGGTGCCAGTGGCGCAACCCCTTGCCCACCGCACAGCTGCCGGCCACGATGTGTCCCAACGGGGTCACCCCATTCGTTGTCACCCCGAACACGGTGACCCGCAGCTGGGTGGTGGTCAGACTAGGTGGCGGCACACTGAAGATCATCGACTCGTTGAAGATCGGACTGCGATCCTTGCGCTTCAGCGAGGTGCGCTTCTTCAGCACCTTGCGATCCTTGTCCATCAGGTAGACCTAGTGCAGAAAATATGCAACAAGTAAGTTAAGGCTAATCTTAATTACCTGTAGAGTGCAACTGGTGACCCCGTATCCCACTCTATATGTGTTATAGTGTTCCCGCTCACCTTGACGAAGACGCTGTGCACCGTTTCGGCGGATTCCGAAACCGGTTGATCCCCGTCCAGCTTGAGATTCCGTGCCTTGACCACCACAATGGTCAGTCTTTCCGCCGTGGGCAGGTAGCTTAGCGAGAACATCAGCTCGCCCCAGCGGGCGTTGCACTTGCGCGAATCGGACAGCGGTATCCACGTGGTGATGGGGCGTGGCATCTCCCCGATCTCCATCTCCGCCTCCCCAATGAGCGTGTGGGCGGGGCCGTTGTGGTACAGGTGGAACCACAGCGAATGACGCGCCTGCCGCTTGTGCAGCCAGAAATCGAAGCTTTCGTTGTAGTTGGGCGTCAGTGCACCCTTGACCACCTGAATCGCAAATGGAGAACATGAATGGAGCACTTAGGTAGTGTTTAATTACTGTCCACCTTTGTTTGCATAGCTCCTGGATGATCGGGCACCAAGTAGACGCGCACAAAGGTGTCGAGAGACTCAACGCTGAATGGACATATGAGTCCCTTGGCCTCAAGGACACTAACAGTCAGTTCCATGCCCTCGTTGCTAATGCTCATTCTGTTTAAGGGAATTGTGAAATTTCATAATATGGAGATGATTTCTAAAGACAACTTACTGATCGTAGTTAAGGCCAACGCATAAATATCCGGTTATCTGGGTGTAGGGCTGATCCAGTTGATCCAGGAATAGCGTTGAATCCGAAGTAACCGAATCGCAGGAGATGGCTCTCTCCAGATTGATGCCCTCCATCGATCCGGGTATAGATCCCGCATGGGAATCCAGGGATACCTGGGAGCTATTCCGTCTGCCCAAGCCCAAGCCCATGCCCAGACTCAAAGTGGAGTCCTGTCGCAGCAGGGAGCGTCCAAAGGACCAAGTACCATTGCCATTCCCGTTGACATGACCAGTGCCTGGTCCTGTGCCATTGCCATTGGCCGTCGGACTATTGACACCCAATTTCCGAAAGAGATAATCCTCGGAGATGGTCTTTTGCAGCAGATGCGGACCCTTGACGCGTTGCGAGATTCCCGTGAAAGGATTGGTTGTGTTATGGAGCTTCAGGAGTCTGCTGGACAGACTTTGGCTCTCTACGAAAGGATTGCCATTGTGATTGCTGATGGCTGGCGTATCCATTGGAACAGGCGCTGTTGGAGGCTTTAGAGGAGCAGTTATTGGAGTACTTTCACTGCCAGAAATAGTGGTATTTTCCAGAGCAGTAACCGCGGCATTCAGAGGTTCGCAAATGGGATTACTGGGTATCTGCTCCGTGGACTCGCACAGGAAGGGATTAGTGCTGGAGTTCCTCCGCTTCAAAGCAGGCGCTTTCCGCTCACCCTCCCGCGTCGGGTTCACCACAGGCTGCTCCGGCTGGCCTGCGCCAATGATGGCCGGCTGCTGGGACACCTGCCGCTTGGCAATGGGCCTTGGAATCGCCGTACCAGACATGTTCACCGAAGTCGACGTGGTGAGTCGTGGCGGAGGTGGTGCCTCCAGTGGCTGCGGCAGCACAGCAACCCCACCAGCACCGCCCGCAGATCCACCATTTTGACGGAGGCAGGAGCGACGCTCCTGATCGTTGGAGGTCGCCAGCTCGCTGGGCGTGGTGACCTCGTTTACCTGGCTCAGAGAGAAGGTAACCGTTTTGCCGGCTGCTGCAGCGCTATTTGGAGATGGAGCTGGTCGATCCGGCGGTGGCGGTATCTTAATACCCGAACGCGGAAGATGCCACATGGCCGTGGTGGCCTGGAGGGCACTGGATGATCCGGTTATCGAGACCGCACCGCCGCCGTTCATTAGGAACAGGTGCGTCTGATGCGCCTGATGCGTCTGATGCGCCTGATGCGCCTGTTGCGCCTGATGCGTCTGCTGGGAGCGATTGTAGTCCTCCTTGTCGATGGTGTCGAAGCGCTTGAAACTGCCGCTGGTGCTCAGCAGGAACTCGGAGCCGGATTGTATCTGTGAGTTAAGAGAAGTAGAAAAGTGTAAACCTATACATTTACCATTTCGAAAACTATTCTCTGCGACTTAATTTACCCATTTAAGCATACTTTCTTGAGATATATTGAGAAAGCGCGCAGGATACTTACACTGGCCATATAGCCATTGGCATGGAATAGCTTTTGCTTGTGGTTGGATAGTCCGATCTTTTCCTCCTTGCTGGATCGCATCCGCATCCAGTTGGCGGCCCTCGGACCAAGACAGTGGCAGGCGAACAGGACGCCCAGGATCAGAACTGCCAGGAGCAGTAGCGCCAAGGAAATGGTGAAGCTCATCATATCCGGACGAGTGCCATTCGTTTATCAATCCAACCAATCCTGATTCATTCGTTCACTCCGTGCCCCTGATGGAATACAAGAAGTTCCATTTCGTTGCTAAACTTCTATTACAAAAATTGAACGAGCAACCAACCAAGTTGCATTCCCTCGTTTTCCTACACAACCCAACTAGATAACAATGACTCATCTGTCCGCAGTTTTTCTTCCTCTAAAAACGAAAATAAAACCCAAATGTTTTCATCGGAAACTGATGACAATGGGGGATAGGTGGGGTTTGGTATTCTAGAGATTTGAAAAACACTTTCATCTCGCATCGCTTTACACTGAGCAATTTGCCTCATCATTGCGATGTGGGGGCGTCTATGTGGGATTTTTTTTGGGGCGGTGGGTGGGTACAGGTGCTCGTTCTCGTTCTCAATCACAAACTTTGACAGTTTCTCAATTGAATTTGTAACCGAAGACGCAGCATTGCCACTTCAAAGCGGCGGCAACCAGAAGGGGTGACATGTCATACAAGTGCTGATGAGGAGGATGAGGAGGAGGATTGTCCACGGCGACCATTGCCATGGATCATTCCGTCGACAGACCGCCGAATCTCTTTATCACCCACGTTATCATCCGGTCTGGACTGACGTCGTCAGGCACTCAACGAGCTTAGGTAACTTGCGACTTGGGGCTTATGATGGATTACAGTCGAACCTCTTCAGAATGAACAAATAATTGGCACGCAACGAAGTACTGTTTGAAAATAGACCATTTTCACTGCTTTCCCTCTGATTTTGAGCGTCCCTTTTATGGCTCTCAAAAGTGTTAATAAATTTCCCAATTTATATTTAAGAATTTACATTTTATATAGCATATATGGGATTTTCTCAGCTGAAGTGCCAGGTGTCCTAAAATACCAGCACTTTGCCCATAACATTGGAAATAATGGCCCAAATATGAAATGCCCTACCTCGTTAAGCTCGTAATCACATTCCCAATCGATTTGCATTCAAATCTGGAGATTTTATTTTTTGCCATTTTAAAGATGTAAATTTACCCCTTACATAAAATGGAAAAATATACCAAAAATGAATTTTCCTAAATCCGTCAAAAAGTAATAGGGCTAGTTAATATTGGTAATTGGCTGATCAAACAAGTTATGAAGCAAAAACACTTGAATTTTGCACAAAGTCGTTTTGTGATGCAGTATTTAGTACTAATTTTCTTAGTAATAAGTTCCTGTACAAAGAAAATCGCACTTTGCCATCTATTAGAAAGGTCCCTAAAAAATTTAGCAAAGGAAATATAAGAAAATAGAATTTTGCAAATACTTCTACCTGTACAGAATTACCGAACATTTAGTTTAGGGAAGCTGCACTGTATATTACCAAATCTATTAAATGGAAATGTTTGCTAAGCCTGGCTATTTATTTTCGCTACTCTGTACACTTTCATTTGCTCGGAGGTGCCTCGTATCCAGTTCATTGAGCTGGGAATCAAATCGGTTTAATTATACATGTGCCCCGGGTAACAGAGCATTACATTAATGTATCAAAGCATGGGGTCGCCTATGGGATACCGTGCAGTAAGAGAAATTAGGAATTAATACCAAAGCAGGTTGCTTAAATTAAGTTGCAAAACTAGTTACCATTTCTAACCATTTAAGAAACAATGAAGTTAAATGAAATATGTGCAAATTAAAGCAAGTTTATGAGAGATTTAGGTGCTCCTTTATCAAAGCTGTTTTTCTGGCGAAAACCTGACAAAATAACAGAATACTCGTATACCAAATTGGCTTTATAATCCCCATAAAGCAGTGCCCACAGAGGCAGTAAAAAGAGCATTATATTCTGCGAAACTGTGCGTAATTTCAGTCGTAATTGGCCATTAAAATTTGGCTAGTGTAGTAGGGCCAAGTTGGTCGCACATCGTTGTGGCTTAGGAGGACTTTTAGCCGGGCCAAGAGGCAGCAGCCAGCTGAAGTGCCACTTTTCATTAACCTACTGGGAGGTCATTCCACTGGCTTTGCTCTGTCTTTTGTTGCTGCAGGTGCACAAACACACACACACGCGCACACACACTCACACAGGCTCCTTCGATATCTGATGTATGTATATGCATAGGCCACATACTATACCATATATACAATATATACCATATTTGGTTTTGGGCCTGAAAGTGTCGCCCCGAATTAGCCAGAGATGACCTCTTTTGCGCCATCGGAAATGGGACAAGTTGAGAAGTGAACGGCGGCAGTCACGTTCGGCGAGTGACAACTGTAGCCCTTAGCCCATTTTCCATTTCCAGCGAAAACAAAGAGCAGAAATCAAAAAACTTTTCACTGTGAAATGGAGAGTGAAAAGCAGGCAAAAGTCAAAGTAATCAGAAATGGGGAAGAGCCAGGAGATGGAGGCCCAAGATAAAAGGCCAAAAATCTAGAGCAACGCACACACAGAGACACACCGAAACGCAGCTCATTTGGATTTTCCTGCATTTTCCCACTCGCACTTTTACCAAACAAAACAAAAAGAAGCTGCAATTTCTTACCTCACTTATGCTCGCTGATCATTTGGCCACGATTAAGACAGCAAATACTTTAACACTCGCATTTAACAATACAAATAATAACAAGTAGTAGCGCTGCGGAAAGAGGAAGAGCAGGAAGCGGAAGTGCGGGCGGAAAATTCGCTCATTTTCGTAGACCGTTCGGTGCCAAAACTCGCGGCCAACTGGGTGAAAGCTGGCCAAACACAGCAACAACTTTGCTCCACTTTCCCACTGAAATGCGTTTTCCCAGCTTAAAGCTTCCCCTTTGAAAACAATCCGAGCTTCGTCCTATTTCCGGACTTTGCGGCAGTGAAAAGCGAGCTTTGGGACAAGCTCTGCCATAAAGGATACTTATAGCAAAGGCTATGATTGTATGGCAGAGCAAAACGCAACCATAAATATATAGCACAGCGAAAACTTCACCTAAATTCTATAAAAGTGAATATAAATGCCATAATTGGGACTATGAATTATCCATAAACGGGTGATGAGAAATGTTTGTAGCGAGCCTTTTATGGTGAAAGCTTTATTTCTATTTTACTAATTAAATATTTTTAAATATTGCAATATTTTTATTTTCTTGGAAATAAAGTATAATTTGTATTGTATAACGTTTCAATGCAATTACTTTGATTAAAATGTGCCTAAAAGTATAAAATTAACGAAAAATATATGGTTTGAGCTACAGATGTCGAATTTATTTTCATAGTTTAAGAAAATAAATTGCAGTACTAAATAAATGCAATCAGAGAATATACCCATCTCAGAATAGATAGAAGATATAAGAGGTATTCCACTCCTAGATTAATATAAGTTGAGTTATGGAGCTTAGAACTTCAGTCTGTCCGTTTATACGGACGGACGGACAGACGGACGGACGGACAGAAGGACGGACATGGCCAGTTCGACTCGGCTATTGATCCGGATCAAGAATACATATACTTTATATCGTCGGAAGCGTTTCCTTCTGCCGGTTACATACTATTCAACGAAAAAAGTATACCCATTTACTCTACGAGCAAATTTGCTGTAGGCGATATTTTCCAGTTGCCTCGTGTCACGACTTCCACCAAAACACGTGCGGCGCATATCTGTCCTACGAAGGGGCTGCAATCGGCTTGGAAGGCAATATAACATGTAGCTACACTGTTATACGCTGGCTACTGGGCAATACCGCTGTACAGCATCCCCACTTCCGGTAACAGCGGCACTTCGGCTACTTTCCCCAAGCGTTGGCCACTTCCCCTCACTGTTGGCCCAGGGGCAACTTTTGTGGACCGAAAGCTGTAGGACAGTTTGACCTTACTCAATGTTACTGCACTCCCTAATCCTGGAATTTTAACATTTGCCGAATCCGAATCGCTTTAAGCGGATTAAGAAAGCAGGCGAATGAAAACTAAAGGAATGATAGGTGCGGGTAGGGCGATGGGGCTTCTCCCCCTTTTTTGGCGGGGCTTGGGGCAACCGGGGAAGGGGGTCTTCAGAACCTGAATAATAGATGGATACACACACAAGGGTCGGCCTTTCGGCCGATAATGGCTTTAATTCGTGGTCAATCTAGCGTGACTCCCCAAAGGATGCTCGGCGCGAAATGTTTTTACATCTCTCGCTCTCTCGAAGCCCCGAAGCGCCTAATAAATTTCACATTTTGCAACTTGCCGCATTTTGATTTTGCGGCCATTACGCAATTTTTGGGCACTGCCCAAAATGCCAAAAAGCGAACATATCCCCAATCCCCAGCTGAGCCACGTTGAACTGAAAATGCAAAAAAGTAAAATACCACTAACGATTAAAAGCACACTCAGTTTGGATAATTTTCGCAGAATTATTTCACAATTCCCCTGACAGCAGCAATCAGCAGATTGTTGGCCAAATCAAATTGCTTTCAATCGACACTTTGGCGAACGATATTTCCACCGGAAAAGGGGGTTATATCCTCGATATTCTCGATTGTCGGTCAATCTTGGTGGGCAGAAAAACTAGAAAAAAAAAATACAAAAAATACAAAAAATAAAAAAAAAATGAAATAAAATGAGAGAAATAAAATAGGAAAAGGAAAACCGCATTTCAGGCTAAAATGAAACAATAAAAATGAGTGCTGGGTCGCAAAAATGAAAAGGTCTAAATTGCAATGTGAAATGCAACCGAATCAAATAAAATAAAAAAAACAAAAGAACTGAACAGAACAGAAGAACAGAAAAACAAAGGGGCGGGCATTCCCGAGTTGAAGAGTCAAAGGGAAAGCAAATAAATTGTGCAAATTGTGGTAAATTGCGACTAACACAAACAGCAACTATGTTGTGAGTGCTTCTGTATAGCATGTACATATAATAATGCGAAATGCCGAAATGATTTCAAATGCAATTTCAATTGAATTTGCAAACAGGCCTTTCCGAAACCAACCAGACCCCCACACCGCCCCACACCCCACTGATCGGGCATTACGAAAAAGTTTTAGGCCATACAAATAACG